ACAAATAAAATAATTAGCCTATAACATGCATAGACCTCTCTATGCTTGGCATATCAAGCTTTCTCTTATAAAGTCAATAACTTCAATTAGGAACCTTGTTCCTTTGACTTGCCAATCACATTTGACAAATTGCTTAACTAGTATACTATAGTTCAGCACATAAGCAAATAAGTCCTTAAATTAATTCATCTGAATGATACCAACTTTTGTTCAAAGCATCTCTTTGAACATATAATTCCCCCCAACTTGCCTTATATCAAACTTCAAGACTATACTTCTTTGTGCTACTCTAATTTAACATGTTTTTATGAACCGTTTATATGCAACTTATTAAGTACTAACTTACTCAAAATCACTTTTGGAACATTGAGGGAATTTTGACTTTTTGCTTGTTAAAACCTTTACTTTCACAAGCTTCCTAACCACTATCTCGTCTACTATAAACACTTTCATGCTTTAAGTTTTCTATAGTATTATGTTTGTAAGAAGCAAACCCTTGAGCTCATGCTTGATTCTTCATTTCTAACTAAGGATGGTCCAAAGTTGAGTTGAGATAGAAGTCAATGCAAGTTAATGCAGTCAACTAAAAGTCTTATAAAGCAAACCTAAATTGATGAAATGAAGGTTTTGATAAACTTTAAAATATTTTAATATGTAAGTACTTGAGTCAAGCAAACCTATAAAGGATGGTAATGGATATACCTCAAACATGTTTAAATATTCTAAGATATTCTACTATCTAACAGTTGTTATTCATTTAAATTAATTTTGTATTCATAATATATAAATATTATAATTTATAAATTAATTTAAACCCTGTTTAGTATATTATTTTTTATTTTATTATCTAATGGAAAATATGCAATAAGATTCATCCTATATTTATAAATTACAACATGTTTATAATTATAAACTTTATTTGATCAATTAGATTAATAAGTAAGAATAACACTAATATTAAACAAACCAAGTGTTGCTGCATGTAAAGTGTAGCAATTTATTTGTTTAGTCAAAGGTAGTTATCCTATAAACCATTAGAGTCTTGGCTATTGTATTTACTTATTTCTTTTTTTTAATTTCTTAAAATTTTACTTTGAGACTAGATTTTTTCTACAGCTAAACAGCCATTATTCCATCTAAGTTTATGGCATCAATTTTTTATTACTAAGTATTTTCATGATGAATTTACTAAATTGATAGTTTATTACTAGTTTAATACCTTTAAGTGAAAAAGCAACACTGTCATCACATCATATGTTAAAATTAACGTTTAATCCACTTTACTTATAATAAGGAGGAACATCTAAATAGAGTAGAACTCTTAAGAAATTTAAGAATGATGGGATTATAACCACAAATTTAGAAACAACCCATTATATTAAAAAATAGAGAGAAAGGGATTTTCTAATTTTTTTCTCTAATTGTTTAGGATATTTCAAATTAAATATCCTTTGTTTTAGTTTGAGTAAGACAGAAATAAGTGATCAATCTAAATTAAAGAGATTATCACTAGTTAAGCTATACTAGATAACTATTAAGATGACTATTAGTTTTAAAAGAGACTAATTTCAATCACTACTAAACCATATTAATTAGAGTGTTCAATCACTAGCTAAGTGATACTAGGTGGGTTCTAGGGCACAACATTTCACATACATCCTTATTCAAAAGAAGGCATTCCTTTTTTAGATTGTAAATATAATTTATAACAATGTTTTTGAAAATAGCATTAAATTTTATTAGAAATTAAAAATATAAAATTGGCAACTGTGAATGGAAAGGGATTTGATAAGGATAAAATAAAATATATAATAAATAGCATTCTCCCATGTTTTGAAGCATCTTAAAGATGCTAAAGAGTGGTCATAAAATGACCACTTAAAGACAAATGATTTAATTTAAGAAGGATAAAGCTATAGTATAGGTGGTTTTGAATTATCAATGAGATAGTGAGAATTGACAAGGCTTTAATGTCAATGGTACCTTTGAGTGTCTGAAGTGGGACTTGAATACATGTAATATTTATATCAACTAGTCAATATAACTTTAAATCACCTCTAAGGGTTTAGCAAGTATTATAGGTTAGGATGAGGACCTATCAAGGTTGTGAGTGAGAGTTTTTCAAATAATTAAAGGTATGGTTAAAGACTAAAGTAGAATAAAAAATTTAATCACTTACAATTTAATATTTAAGTTGTTCCTTAGTCTAACTCTTATTGATAGTCAAGTATATCATCACTTGATATTAATAACAAAAAGTCCCAAGAGTGGGGCTAAACTCAAAGAATAAGATGTTAAGAGAGCATAGCTCTTCACTTTAGTTCATATATAAATTTATAGAACTGTGATAAAAAATAATTGGGATCTTAGGAACCATAAAAGGCTTTCCTAAAAAAGATGATGATGTAATCAATGTGAGAGCATAATTTTGCAAAGCTAATTTTAATATAATTATAGTATACAACTAAAGTTTAGATTACTTAAAGAAAAAAGATTTCTAAAGAATAAAAGAGTTATAAAGTTATCCTTATTTAGTTGAGGATAGTGTTATGAATTTGATATTAAATTAATAATCACAGGTGGTCAAATATGGTTGAGGATATATGTCCTTAGTGTAGTAACTTGAGCTATCTTTCATGAATGCTAGAGCAACTTAAGGAATTGGGAGTGTACTTAAATAATATTCTTATATTATGGAAGAACAATTTTAAAGGGCAAAGTAGCCCATATGAAATAAAAGAGATAATTAAGAGTTGGAATAACACTTTTAAAAATGGTGTTTGTGGATGGGATAGAAATATAAATAATTATATTCAAGTGAGGTGGCACTTCAAGAGTAGCCATGAGGTTATTAAGAGTGTTATCCAGAAGTTATAAAAAGGTGTTCACAAAAGTAAAATAAACTTCCATGAAGATGTTTAAGCATGATGGTAAAGGGTTAATCAATATCAATTATTTTGGCATAACAAAAAGAGTAATATATGATCTTGGTGAAGACATAAACACAAGTGGAATATATTGTAAAGATAAGCTTATAAAGTTAATAATATGGAAACACTAACTATCTTATAAGGGGTGCCTTGCGTAGCTCAAGTTGGTTAGTTCATGAAATCTTTGCTAAGAGAAATAAAATTGGCATAGCCTAAACCAAAAAATGTGGAATTAAAGTCTTTTAACAAAATATGTCTAATGGTGTAAAACATTAATATGTAAGCAACCAAAAAGAACAATGATCTATAAAATTTTATATACGGAAATGGCCCATAAACAAAAGTGCAATCTCATTTCCAATTGGTTAAGTGTATTAGAATATTTGAGATTAACTGTTATTGAGTTTGAGTAATAATGGGTATGCCTTGATTTTGAAGGGCACCCCCTTTTTTTCTTTTTAAAAGCTTTTCTTTTGATCTACTTTTCACCTTGAAAGTTTAAAAAATGTATTAAGTTTCCAAAGAAAGCTTTTTATTTCATATAACCTTAAGCTCAATACAATAGAAACACTTCATTCTTTTATTTGGGTAAACATTAATTTTAAGAAACCAAGGATAAATTAATTATCAATCCTTTTTGAACTATAAAGCATTCTTTGGCTTGATCAAATGCCTCAAAAGAACTATGACCATCTGGTATTCTTTTTTAGGCCTTCCCATCCTAAAATTATTTTAACTCTATATTACTTTTATAAATCTAAAGTTCAAAACCCATAAAAAAACTTAAATTTTTTTATAACATTGCAGTTGATATCATTGAACACCTTTTTTTTTAGAGTTTATTTTTCATCACAATATTTCTTTTGAAAGGTTTAATCAATAGTTGTTATTCTATAAAAGTTTAAAGACATCTTGAAGGGTACAAAAGCCATTAAAATTGAGATAAAATATTGGGTTGGGTGACCTTTTAAAAAGTCCAAATTCAAAAACTTATATTTAGTATTAAAGAGGTTTTGGCTTCGACTGTAATGGTTAGCTAAGGGAATCACATTATATATTAAAATTAATATTTGGCATTTAATTTGCTCTAACTTGTCTCAATACAGGATGTCAAGAAAGTAGGTCTTTTAGAAAAGTTACAACTTTTAACTTAAGGTGTTAAAAGATTTTGGGAAAGTTGTGGCTTTTATCTTTTATTTATGAAGACTTAAATTTATAAAGAAGTATGGTAGATTGTAAACAACGGAAAAAAACAACTTGACAGGAAAGGGCTCATGAATAAAAGTGCATCACATTTTCCAATTGATTAAAAGTCTTGGGATATTTGGGGTTAAGTGTCTTTGGATTTAAATAATACAAGTACAACAAGAAAATGGTGTTTAGTATCATAAGGGCATTATTTAATGCCTAAAGGACTAAATCCCTATAAGGTAAAAAAGAATTTAGCACTATTAATGATGTTAATCTTGATGTGTGAGATTACAAGTTAAGCATATCTAATTTAAGGAATCACTCCTTAAGTCATTATGGTGCAAAGTTACCCTACTACCATGGAAAAGAATAAGCAAAAGGAATGTATGGAGCTATAATCAAATAATAAAATTGAACTATAGGAATCAAAGGACATATACAAGTTATAAGTCTAACCATTCTCTTGATTCATATTTAGGAAAATCAAAATATAACAATTGTAAAAGTAGTTATAATAAAATAATATAAAAAGATAGGTTCTTATAAAACATTTCTTTTCGAGATGACTCAATTTAGTAGAAAATTTTGGCTTAAGCAAACCAAAAATAAAAAATATATCATAAAAATAAGAATAGAATACAGTTAAAATACTTTTCAACCCTAGGCTAGAAAACAAATATAAACCTTACGGTTTTTTTCTTTGCCACGCCACCTCTCCACGTACAAGAAGTCAATGTTGTCAATGTCATAAGAAGTGGACAAAAAGTGAACACTTCCTTTGAATCAAACGGCAGCATTTCGAATTTGAAATTTTCCCGCTCAATGACGTTGCAAAGAGTCTTAATCTTTGGATCTCACAAACCCTGCTAAAAGCGCTGCTATACTTTAGGGCTCCTCATCAAGTGGGAAGAAGGAGCCAGGGTTTGAGTGCCCGGAGACGCTCGAGCTTCTTGGCGTAGATCTCTCTCTTTGTCGTCTCCAGGGAAAGGCTCGGCCGTCTTGTTCCAGATCTTGGTGAGGAGTGAGCCGAGATTTACCGTTTCCTTCCTGCACAGGGATTATTCTGTGATTTCACGCTTGACTTCTGGTGGCCTTGCCAGATTTGCTTGTTTTGTTCCTTGACGGGAAAAATGGCGGTCCAGAGGTGTGGGGACGACGCACCACAGCTTCTATGGTACGCTACAACGCTAGGCCATAAGAAGTTTTGGTGCTTAGAGCAAGAGGACGACATTGCAATGGTCGCGGAGGTGTTCTAGTGCTTCAGAGTTTTTCGAGGCATTTGGAGCGGCTGTTCTTCGCAAAAGTGAGTTCCTGTTTATAGATTCGTTCTCGTTGCTTATCATCTCCTTTCACGCAGGATCTTGAGCGGAATGGGTCTGTGTGTGAGTAAGTCGAGTGCTCGCTCAACCCCTGGCTCCGAAAAGTCCGAAAAGTGTCGCTGGGACAAACACGGTAATGTGTTCTTCCCAGTGAGGCGGGCGTCTTACACGGAAGACGAAGATGGAACTCGAAAACACCAAGCTAGAGCATTCATGAATCCGGTTTACACCGAGTGTGAGAGCCCGGGGCAGACGAAGAGAGGCTTTTCAAGTATTTCTAAGCTTCTCAGAGGTTCCAAGGTCCCCCCGCTGCAGCTTAGGCGACACCCTTTGTCTCCATCGAGAACAAGGTGCCGGGATTTGCTAGGAGCGAAGGCCATCACTAGTGGCATCCACGATTTACCAGGGGGAGAACAGCCTAAACGAACTTTGCTGAAGTTCATGGAAGCCGATAAGAGCGGGGTTCTCTCGCTGAGCAGATCTTCCAGTGCTAAAGAAGGTAGCCTTACAAGGTCTTCTAGCGCGAAAGAGGCGGCACTCTCTCGGTGCTCTAGTCAAAAGGAAGGCAAGCGAGATTTGGCGGGGGACTCCGTAAGGCCGAGTCCGGATCACTTGGCTACCATCGCTTGTTTGAAGGCTGCCAACTTCAAGTTTAACGACGGTCACGCTGCAGACAGAAAGGACGACGAAGAGACTCAGCAAGCAACCGAGATCTCTGGTGAGAAGGTTGAAGCCGCTGTCACGAAATCTTTGGCCGAAGCTGCTCCACTGACCAGAGGACTTGGATTACCGTGCTACCAGACTCTGGTCTTTCGCGCAGTCTCTCCAGATAAGTCAAGGGGACGGTGTACATCGTCGCATTCATCTTTAAGCAGCGAGGAACTAGCCGCTGTTACGAATCGTCAGCGCCGACGGTCCCCCAGCAGGAAGTCTCCGGGGCGAAGATCGCCTCGGAAAGGTTCTCCTAACAAAAGGACCGGGAGCGGTAACTTTGTCTTGAATGCTTCGGCAGCACGGTTTCAAAAATCCCTGCCGGGTGCAAGGACTGAGACTGCAAAGCCTCCTCAAGTGCCGAAAGACGTTACGGTAAGATGAACAAAGTGAATTATCAAATGTTAGTGAATGTCTAACCGTTCGGTATTACAGGCCAAAGCTCAAGGAAGGTCAGCTCTGCGGGAACTACCGTTAAACAGTTTGAAGCCTCAACACTGTCGCAGGCATTCCTCACCAGTCAAGACTTTTACATCTGGTAACTTTCACCATCCAACAGCGCCAGCCATGAAGCTTGTTCCTGCGTCGACGAACAGCGTCTTAAAATCGGAAAAGTTTTCGGTTTTCAGTGATGCGATCCATCTCGACATTCAGTCGAGCTCTTCAGTCACGACCGAAGAGTCAGCCGGAGTAAATCCATCCTGCCTCAGCAAAGAACCTCGTTCGGGATCAAAACGGCTTAGATCACCAAAGAGGTTTACAGCTGCGCAGGAGAACCTCAACTTCCGGCTGTCGGTCCCAGGAGCTTTAGAAGACAAGTTCCTTGGGGCGACGGACGACCACACCAAAGATAAGCACGTAGATATTGCAAGCACCGATACGAACGTGGAGGACAAGCAGGTTCTGCATGAGCAGGAGGGACAGGACGCTGGAAGTTGCTCGCCTGATCCAGAACTCTTGGAGCTGCTTGAAAGGACTCCGAAGAAACTTAAAAAGATGGCGTTGAAGCTAGCTCTGATGATTGAGCTGGATCAGTCCAGCGGTGAGGAGGAGGACGAAGTTAAGCAGGATGTAGATCTCGAGCTCAAGTTGGGAATGGCGGCCGACAAGAGCAAGAGGTCAAACAGGGATGGTATCAAGCTGGATCTGAGCGTGGCACTTGACTCCCCTACGAGAACAGGCTCCACTTCCGTCCCGGCCACTCCACGACAGTCAATAAGCTCAACATGCAATGGTCTGTCCGTCGAAGCGAGGATAGGTTCGTCCAAGCACTCGGAGTTCTCCTTTCACATAATGAAGAACCCGGATGAGCTATTTGGTAAGGTTCCTCGGTTTCACATTTCAAGGACACAGCAGAGAGAAGAATCAACGTCATCATTCCATCTGGACACATCTTCGAATAAGGTTGCTGTGGATTTGACAGCTTCACAAGAACAAAACTGTGACCGGTGCACGCATTCTTCGAATGAGGTAAAGTTGCACCGTGTATGACACCTCCACTATTTGTTTTCTTCCTTTTCTTTTAACTCCACAGCTTTTTCTATCGCAGGACAGGGGAAGTTCCAAAAACGCTGCAGCTCCGGTTCAGAGGTGTTCATCGTTTGGCTTTGAGAATGACGATCACGAAAAAGCAGCAGCGGAGAGCGTCATTATTGAAGAGGACAAAGAGAGGACTCCTGGCAAAAGACGCGACTTCAAGGACCTGGACCTCAACAGAGATGCCTGGCTGGAGGATGATCATCCATCGCCTGGCTTCGAGTTTCAAGTTAAGTCTGCTGGACTCAAGTCCCTGCCAGCCACACCCGTTATGCCTACAGCTCCAAAGGTGACAGAGACAGACGCCTTGTCCCTCTCAGCTGACGAGATTGCCGAGATCTGGGGCGCCTTCGAGGCTGGCCAGGAGGAGATTTCCACTTAAGAAAAAGAACTCAGCGGTCATCGTGGCTCCTGGTACGCTATTCCATCCTTTTAGTAGTTGCGTTAGCTCAGGCAACTTACGGTAGCTCATCTAGATCAATCTCATTACCTCATGGAGCTTGAGTCCTGGTACGCTACTTCTTTCTTTTAGTAGTTACGTTAGCTCAGGCAACTTACGGTAGCTCATCTAGATCAATCTCATTATCTCCCGGAGCTTGAGTTGAGGGAAGTTCCAGCTGCCGCATTTAGATCCATCGTATGAAAACTCCAAGCTAACCGATGCGATTTGGACCTACTAACTCTTACCGCTCTTCATTGCTGCAGTACTCCCCCTAGCGCAAAACAAGAATCTAGCAATCGCTTCCAGAGCACTGCTTTTGTGTGGAACCGACCACCAGCTTTCTTTTTAATTTCCCGCAAGTCGTAGCTATCAAATGTGTTCTTTCGGTGAAGTGATGGCTCGCTGTTTAGAGGAAGGCCTTGATGGTTCGCCCACTCCTAAAGTCCTCACACAAGGAAGGAAAAAAGAAAGATCAAAGCCCGTGATCTCAATGTGGGGGCCCTCTTCCCTCACACTCTTTTGTTCCCGTGTCAAAAATTCATGGTTCGCGTTTCTTTTTGTCCGCTAACTACACACAGAAGGGCCATCGCTCTCGCACGTCACCGGCTCGACTCCCAGTATGACCTCTTTAACCAGCGCCGCCGGTCCAGCGGGATGGAATACCTGCAGCAGGCCGTTAACTTACATTCCGTGTCATGGGCCATGGCCCACTAGAGAAATGGTCTATTTGTCCGGATCCAGACTGGCACACAAACAGTGCCAAACGTGTTTGCGACCTCCCTGCCCATATCTACCGGGTGGCTGTACGAAGCAACCATTTGCTCGTAGTTTCGAGATTAATAGCTAGTTAAGATTGGGGCTGAGGCTCCTGCGAGAGCTCCAGGGCATCAGCATTTAGTTCTTGCTTGCACGGTAGGGTAGCGAGAGCTGCGCGACGAGCCCGGCGATTGGCCAGGGTAGCCGTGGAATGAAGCGCACAGCGATCGAAATCCCGTCATCGCGAGGCGCCGCTACCAGGTGAATCTCTAGAGCGCCGATTCCTCGCAATGCTGTTGCGTGGCTTAGGCATTTAGATCCGGCGCCTTCATTTCTCTCGAAATTTCTCCTGTATCATCCCTTCTTCGTGTCCGAGTCTCAGTCAGTCCGGATTTCTCTTGAGCGAATCGGTGTGATTGATCTCTTCTTTTTGCCTTGGCAGACACCACGATGGCTCGGTCTGCTCTCTTTCGTCTGGCGCTCCTCATGCAAGTGGCCTGGACAGTTCGTGCGATCACAGAGATTGGCGATGGTAAGTCGTGTTGTGCAAATATGCCAGTCTTGGGATATGAGGAAAGCATTGACACATTGTTTTCGCAGTTAATGGGCTTAAGATCCTCTATGGAAGCTGGAATTCTCCGCGGCTATCTGGGTGGAACTCTGGGCCCGGTGGTGATCCATGCGGCGAATCATGGCAAGGAGTGCTATGTACGGGTCCTCGGGTTACCTCAATGTACGTTCTGAACTTTCTTAGATCGCAAGATGATTTTGATGCGCTATAATTTATGTGTTCTTCAGCAAGCTTCCCGGTCAGAATTTGGGAGGGTCCTTGGGATACGCGTTGGATCAGCTCCGGAACCTCAAGATACTGTATGTTTCATCGATTGTTTTCGGGAACGAAATTTATTTTTCGTTGTAGGGATTTGAGCAACAATCAACTCAGTCAAGCGATCCCGTACCAGCTTCCGCCACAACTACAAGAGATGTACGTTCTTCCTAGCCTTGCCTTGTTTATTTTCCTAAAACTTTCTATGATAGGTACTTGTCTAACAACCAGTTGACTGGTCTTCCATACTCTCTGAAAGATTTGTGGTCTCTAACGAAAATGTAAGTTTTCTTCTGACACCAAACATCACTTTAATCGTGGCACTTTTGTGTAGAGACGTGAGCCACAACCAGTTAATTGGTACAATTCCTGATGTCTTTCAAAACTTCTCCAACTTGAATCTTCTGTAAGTATGTAAACGCATTCGGAAGTATGACACTTGACTGTTTTCGAAATTTTCAGAGACGTGTCCTTTAATCAACTTACTGGCTCGCTTCCTTCCTCATTTGCGGGTTTGATTAGCATATCCGTTATGTAAGCCTTTCTTCCCCAAATATCATCCTTGAAACTCAGCTTTTACACAGGCACGTCCAGAACAATAAACTCAGCGGGGATATTAACGTACTGTCTGATTTGCCTCTTGCTGACTTGTAAGATATCTAATTGTTTTTTTTTTTTTTTTCTATCGTAAGCTTTCTTTTTCAGAAACGTTGAAAATAATCAGTTTAATGGATGGGTTCCAAGCTCACTTCGATCTATTCCCAACTTAAGGTAATGAAGGGAACCTCACACGTACTAAATACTAACGTTGCTTTTACAGGGACGGTGGGAACAATTTTAGTACTTCGCCGGCTCCCCCTCCACCTCCTTTCACGCCTCCTCCACCTCCACCACGAGCACAAGCTGGAGGAAAAAGTCCTGGGACCAAGTCTTCATCGAGGCAGTCTAAAGAAGCTGAAAGTGGCGGTTTGTCACAAGGAAAAATGGCTGGTATAATTGTTGCATTGGTATTGGCTGCTGTTATCGCTGGCCTTGTCGCTGTATGCTACATGCGTAAGAGAAAACGAAAACCGGACCTGGAAAAGAAAATGGAGAGCTCATGGCTAACTCCTCATAATGCTCCTGCTAAAGGTATGCTCTTCTATTGAGTTGTGCATTCTAGCTAACGGTCTTCTTGCAAAACCAGTGAAAGAGCTTAAAATGGAACAGAAAACAAGACTTTCTCCTCCCGAAAAAGTCTTAAAGCCACCACCGCTAAAGACTCCGGCTGCTGAGCGTAGTCCTATAAAACACAAAAATTCGAAAGCGTCGGTTGCTGCAACTTCTTACTCCGTCGCCGATCTTCAGGCTGCCACAAACAGCTTTGCGCAAGAAAATCTTTTGGGTGAAGGTTCTTTGGGAAGAGTCTATCGTGCAGAGCTTCAAAATGGCACGGTAAGCACAATGCGTAATTGGCAGCAGACTGACAAATCTGATGGTGCAGCCGTTAGCTGTCAAGAAGCTCGACGCATCAGGATCCACGGTACAAACAAATGAAGAGTTTCTTGCATTTGTTTCTACCATTGCTCGTCTGCGGCACACAAATGTTACAGAGCTTGTCGGATACTGTGCAGAGCATGGACAACGGCTGCTCGTGTATGAGTATTTCAACAGAGGAACACTTCATGAGATGTTGCACGTTCTTGATGAGACGAGTAAACGGCTATCATGGAATCAACGAGTCAAAATTGCGTTAGGAGCTGCGCGAGCACTTGAGTAAGTGCTGATATCTATTTCATAAGAACTTGGCTAATTACAACTATGCTGACAGGTATTTGCACGAGGTATGTTCGCCAGCGGTTGTGCATCGCAATTTTAAGTCCGCCAACATTCTACTCGACGATGATATGAGTCCACATTTAACTGACTGTGGGCTTGCAGCTTTGAGTTCCACGTCGTCCGATCGACAGGTCTGAAGAACTAGCGCTTTTAAATTCTCTTTTATTCCTTTGCTGATAGGAAAAAACTGGCAGGTTGCGGCACAAATGCTGGGTTCCTTTGGCTACAGTGCTCCGGAGTTTGCAATGTCTGGTGTTTATACCGTTAAAAGCGATGTGTACAGTTTTGGAGTGGTGATGCTGGAGCTACTGACAGGGCGTAAGCCTCTGGACAGGTAAGGTTTCCTAGTTTTCAAGGTTATATGTTCCATTAGCTAAAGAGGTGTTCTATTCAGTTCAAGAGCGCGCTCGGAGCAGTCGCTGGTGAGATGGGCCACACCTCAACTCCACGATATTGATGCGCTGTCTAAAATGGTGGACCCTGCGTTGAAAGGCATCTATCCAGCCAAGTCTTTGTCTCGCTTCGCAGACGTTATCTCGTCGTGTGTTCAGGTAAAAAAGTGTTTGCTGATTCACTCGGTCGACATTCTGTTACTTTCTATGCAGCCTGAGCCCGAGTTTAGGCCTCCAATGTCCGAGGTTGTCCAGTCTCTAGTCCGGTTGATGCAACGGGCCAGCCTCAGCAAACGGAGCTCGGGCGATGAGCTTGGTGGTTCTCAAAGAAGCATGCACGACCCGCCTTCAGACTACTGATAAAAGGTTCAAGCCGACGGCCTGTTTTGCTAGAGCTAACCAGCGTTTTGGACAGAGCCTCAGGATGAAACTCTATAAGAATAACACTGTGAGGCTCGAGAATTTTGGAGACAGTAGTGTAAGAATGCGGCCTCCTCTAGTTACGATTTGTATATATAAGGTAATGTGGATCAATTTGAAGTATGTTTCTGGTACCACCTAATGTTTTTTTTTTTCTGAGCACTGTTGATTCTGTCTCTGTATGTTTTTGTGCTCGATGACGAAGCCGTATCCGTTAAAGTGGAGAATAAAGTTGCGCAGAAGAAGGGGAAGGAGAACCTCTCTTTAATCCTTCACTGTCTCGGAGGCGTGACGCGATGATGAAGGAAAGGGTTTGGGTCCGGTACTCTGGCACAGTGCAACGCTTTGCTCTTGCTCCAGGAAGGAAGCTGGATGTGCAGAAGATTGCTAGTTTCTGGAAGCTGGATGTTTCGACTCTGTGTGTTGGTACAGATGTTCTTCAGGTGGACGGAGAAGGCAAGGGTCTGGATGATATTGAGGAGGTCCGAGAGTGGGGTTTTGGTGATGGAAAGTCCGAAGCAACGGCTCTTGAAGCTCGAGGCTGTCCAGGTATGCAGTTTCGAAATTCTTAGTTGTCTTTCTTCTCACATCTTTTCTATGTATTCAGTTGTTGCTGATAATGGATTATCTTATGGTAAGTTTCAATACTTACGTTTTTGACCGTGCCTTTGTTCTTCTTTCAGGTGGCTCACAGTATCAAGCCTTTGCAAACGAAGTCTTTGAAATGGTAAAGTCGATGCCCGCGGACGAGAACATATTCAAGCCCCGTAATGTCATCCACTTTCCCGGTAGAATTCCATTTCTTGCGGACAGCATGGAATACAAATCTCTCTGGGTGCACGAGGCCTATCATGACATCGCAGCGGAAATAAAGAACTTAACTGGAAAGGTGAAAAACATCCACCTTGTAGGGACGCCAGGCATTGGAAAGAGTGTTTTTGGGATACTGTGGCTCGTCTCTCTAGCTCTGGAGAAGAAGGCCGTGGTATATCGATGCAAAGACTGCCAGACATGGATTCTGTACAACTTTTCGGGAACTTGTCCGAGCACCAGAGTGTTTAGAAGCTACACCGAGGCTGGACAGTTCGTGAACTCGACCGTATGGCTCATTCTGGATGGTCCTTCCAAGCCCGTCCTGCATCCAGGTCCTTTGCTCCAGTGCGTGGCACTCGATCGAGAAGATGGTCCTTTCGATTTTTCGAGCTGGTCAGGAGGAAAGGTTATCTATATGGAAGACTGGAGCTTGGAACAGTGCGAGCTTTGCCTCGAGGATCTCGGGCTAGACGTTGTCGACTTGGAACTCCGCTTCTTCTACGTTGGTGGCGTTCCCCGCTGCCTTTACAACTCGGGTTCTTATACTTTGGGGGACTTGAAGAGCTCGGTCGACAACGCGGCCGTGCTGGTTAACTGGAAATCGTTTCCCGAGAGCTGCTCAAACAGGCGAGATATGGAAAAGCTAGTACGGAACAGGTACTCGAGAAAGACTTCGGATTCTTTCGAGGAAAACAGCTCAACAACTACAAAGTTGTACGTCCCTGCCTCGACGTACGCCAAAGACGTCATACTAGCAGGTCTCGTGGAAACCAGTTTGACGGAACGAATCAAGCTCATCAACACTCCAGTGTCGGCTTTGGCTGGTTTACGAGAAGTCCCATTCGAAAGAATAGTGCACGAGGAACTAGGCCGGGGTGGTGCGTTCGTCATGCGGAGCTTAGACGACGGGAAGAAAGAATTCCGGAAAACGATACGACCACAGCGAGCCGTTTGCCAGTACTTTGACAAGAGCTCGGGACAGACTTATTTATATGCTGAGCTCTTCACGAGTCGTGGTCAGTTGCATCACAAGGATAAACTTCCTCTACATTTTCTGGGATGGGAGCACTACGTGAAGCCTGTGATGAAGCCAGAGGGGACCGTTGATTCCTTTTTGACGCCTGGGAGGACTGTCACTGGACTGATTTTTCGAGTGGCAGTGACGCTGGAGAGCCCGATCAAGTGGAAGTACGTTGGCAAAATAATCGAGTTTTTGGACGATTGGTGTGAGAAGCAAGGCCGAGCTCCACCGCCGAAATATTGGTTCGTGCTGGTGGTACCAGAGAGATTCTTCCCTCTGTTTACCAAGCAAGTGGCCGTGGAGGAGATATTTGCTCAGCGATTGGAGCAGTTTGTTCTCTCGGTGAAGATATAATCTTCCGACTTAGAAGGTATGAGTCTTTCTTCATCTAATGCTCTTACTCGTTCGGTTGACAGGAGAAAGGAGGAAAAGAAAACATAAAAAAGACAGAAACTTTGGATCCTGCTCTGCTGCTGCTGCCAACGAACTTGGGTCTTCTCCGAGGCAAATTGCTAGAGCTGTACGTGAACGTCTAAATGCAAACACATGACTTCAAGGGCTTTGGCAGCGGCAGGATATCTCAGACCTGTGAGGTGCGAGACATATTTTTAAATGTTTCTTAACATGGTTTTTCTTATTCATTTATTTCTGTTTTTTCTCCTTTGTTCTCACATGCAGTGATGCAGCTGGAGCCGTGACGACAAGCAGTTGGCGATGGAGATGATGGAGATACGAGCTCCATGGCGGACAAGAATGCCAGAGCAACCAAGCAAGGAGCATCACAAACGTACGAACAATCGCCCGCGCTGGAGAACACTCGAATGGATGGAGAGGTATGGCTGTTTTTCCTCAGATTAGTTTCAAGCCTTTGGAACCGTCTTAGCTTAGCCATGCGGAGCTAATCCAGCATTGGATCCTTATTAGTTATACATACTGCAGGAGGATATCGGTGTCAGGCGGAGTCAAAAATCGAGACGAGAAGATAGGCATGTAAGAAAAGCTGCCGTGCCAAAACAAAGGAGAGAGATAGCATCAACCGATTCAATGCAAAGCTCCTGTACACCAGGAATAATAAGGTACTGCTGCTTTCTCTCTTGCTAGTAAGAGATATATTGTAAGAATTTTTATGCAAGGCGCGGGAAGAACAGGACTCGGAGAGAAAGAGAACCAAAGTCCACTGTTGCTGCTGCTGCTGCTGCTACTGCTACTGCTACTGCTACTGCTGCTTTCACAGTTGTGTTACAGGCAGGATTGACAGCAAACCACAAAGGACTTGGATACACCTCCAAACAAGAAACAACGCTGCTGCTGGCTGGAGTGCTAGAGCTGTTCTTGAGTCTCTTTCTTGGCTTCCTTTCTTTATTAACTCTTTTGCTCATCTCTTTTTTCTCTATTTTTTCTTTTCTCTTTCTCTTTTTCTTGCAGGAATGCTCAAAGCAAATCTAGAAAGCAGGCAGCCAATGCTAAGACCTTTCCAAACCACCAAAGCAAAGAGAGCTGCCTATCTATCTACCTACACTCTTTTTTTTGTGTGTGTCCATAAGTTGGCCTCCAGCTGCATTGTGCACACCAAAGCTGACATCTCTCTTTCAACCAGAAAAAAACATTAAATTATGGCTTAAAATTTTCTATAGCTGATATTTCCAGAGATTATTTTAAAGTAATGGTGCCAAAAGGATGAGAAAATTCCAAATCAAACAACCATTGAGACCACCCAACTAACCATTAGCTTTCCAGCTGGCTGTAGAATTCTACGGAGTATGTATCCCACCCGTGACGTGGCAGAGACGTGGAAAGGAGGTCCATGAGCTGGCAGGAAAGACCAGTGCTCTCTCTCTCCATTCCATTCTCTTTTTGCCTATCAGGTTAGTTTTCTTGGAGATCAAGGCTCCACGTTTGAGAAGAGGCTTAGGGTTCTTATGTTCGCTCAAGCGTCTCCTCAGCATTTGGTATCGGTCGTGCGCGGTCGCATTCCTCCATCGATCCAGCGGGGCGCTAGGTTGCGCCGGTGGTTTCGTCGATCGATCGCCTCGCCACGCTCTTGCTCGGTGGATGTTTGGGAGCAGCATGCGACAAGGCGGCGCATACGAATGCGGCCACAGGGATCGCAGCTGGAGGACCGCCAAGAACAGGGAGCACGGATAGCAGGAGGCGTCGCTGGGATTCTAATCTGAGATCGCGATCCACTCCAGCCCCGAAATATTTCCGTCCAGGACAGATCTTTTTCTCTCCTTCTCCTCTCGCGCTTTGATCCATGGCGATCAGCAAGCCGTCCCTGATAACGATTCCAGCGCTCGTTCCCAGCACAGCGCTCACCGCCTTACTCCTCTCTCCCAAGAAGCGGCCCACGAAGCGATTCTTTAGCCGGGCAACCTACATTGTGAGCCTTTGGGGGATTCTCATTGCGGGCTTTGGCGTCTTGAGCATGTTCGTGTTCTTGAGCCGATGGCATCCCGGCGACGAGAATTGCAACAACAAAGCCACCTCCACCTCCAGCTTCTTCGACAACGGCGGCAAGGATGCCTTGGATCGCCATCGCGATGATCTAGCGCCATCTACATCGAAGAATTTCGTGCTTGGGAATCTCACGAACGAAGAGAGGGACTTTTGGCAGCAGCCAGACGATCAGGGCTACAAGCCGTGCTTGAAATTCAGCGATCGCTACGGACTGGATTCGTCCCGCATCCTTTCGGACAGGAGGAACTATCTGGTTGTCGTCGTCTCGGGTGGATTGAACCAGCAACGCAACCAGATAGTTGATGCCGTGGTCATCGCGCGTATCCTCGGCGCTGCTCTCGTGGTTCCGATCATGCAAGTCAATGTTATATGGGGCGATGATAGGTGGGCATTCGTCTCTTCCTTTCTCTTTGGATTCCGTGTGGCTTATCATTGTTTTATCTCCTCGCGATCAGTGAATTTTCTGACATCTTCGATTTCGAGCATTTCAAGACGAGCTTGCAAGCCGACGTGAGGATCGTAACTTCGCTGCCCTCGACTCATATTGGAACGCGACCAGCCGAGGAGAAGCGGACGCCTTTGAACGCAAGCCCGGAATGGTTCAAGCAACACTACTCAAAACGAGTAAGCACAGCTTAGCCTGAGCTAGATTTTCTGACCCTTTCTTTTTTGTTCTTGCCTTTCCAGCTTAGGAGAGATGGCATTCTCTTACTAAGAGGCCTCGACTCGCGGCTGTCCAAAGATCTACCAGCAGACCTCCAGAAGCTTCGTTGCAAAGTAAGCGGAGATAGTCTTAGTTTTATCTTCCACTTTACAACTCGCTTGTTTTTTATTGGCGAGCAGGTAGCGTTCCACGCGCTTCGATTTGCAGCTCCGATACAGGCACTTGGCGATCAAATCACTCAAAGAATGTGGAGTCAAGGTCCTTACTTGGCCCTCCACTTGCGTCTAGAAAAAGACGTGTGGGTTAGAACAGGCTGTCTTCCAGGCCTGGGGCCCGAGCATGACGAAGAAATTCGGACCGAGCGACGCCTGAATCCGAAACTCCTCACTGGACGATCCAACATGACCCAAGAAGAACGTCAACTTGCTGGACTTTGTCCGCTCACGGCAAAAGAAGTAGCAAGGTAAGCGTTTCTTAACCATATCTTTGGTCATGGATCGTTCGTGCTGCCTTTTCTTTTGGTTGCTATTGAGCCGGCATTATGTTATTGCACGCTGCTTTCTTTCCGGATCATCGCAACTTCTTTGTAGTTTTGTGCATGGATACTTTATGCAGAGCTTCTAGCAGCTTGGTTGTATGCTTTGCGATCGATCTTGTGTGTCGCTGTCCTAGCGCAATTCTTTTCAACCGTCGTTGTCGTAGAGAGGGATGCAATTATTCAGCTGACCATCATGCTTTGCATGATCTTTTTGCTCGCCTGATCCCAGCCAGCTCATTTTTCTGATTGGCGACATTTACAACTACTGCTTCTCGTGCTGCCTTCTAGTGTTGTGACTGGGGTGTACTTATTGTCTTTCTAGTACTGCTTGCTCCACTATCGCACCACTAAATGCCCTGCATATTATTGCGGCTGAGATTCGTGAGGCCAGCAAGAAAACGGAGTAAGCCGTTCCTGGGTCCCGTAAGAGACAGACTGTTTCTTTGAAGTCATGAAATCGTAATCCTTGGGAGTTGCACTTTGCATTCAAGAAGTCGTCGGTCGTGCTCGTCATGGGCTTTTTGTTGTTTTAATTTTCGCTATTGTGCTTCTTTGTTTTTGAAAGCTCCATTCCAGATCGTGATGATGCTTATTGTGTTGTATCTGTGCAGGTTGCTTCGAGGACTTGGAGCCACGTCCTGGACCCGGATTTACTGGGCTGGGGGGGAACCATTTGGAGGATCACGAGCTTTGCAGCCACTCAAGCAGGAATTCCCAAACTTGGTCAACAAGCACGACATTGCAACTCCTCAAGAGCTGGAGGCCTTTCGCAGCAAGGCGTCCAGGCTCGCAGCAATTGACTACGTCGTCTCTTTAAACAGCGACGTGTTCATGCCATCTCATGGAGGAAACATGGGTCACGCTCTCAAGGTAAGATGCAGTTTTGAATTTCTTTTCAATCTAATAGAACATTTTGATCTTGCCGCAACAGGGACATAGAGCTTACACAGGCCATCGGAAGCATATAACCCCTAACAAGAGAGAAATGCTACCTTTCTTCCTCAATTCGAGCCTTCCCCAGAGAGATTTCAACGCTGCCATCCGGGAATTACACCGAGAATCGGTTGGCCAGCCTGCCATGTGGATGGAGAAAAAAGGGCGGGACGTATTGGGCTACCCAGTGGCTGAATGTATGTGCAAAACTAATCATCCCAGTTGATTGATAGCTAGGTTGTAGAATTTGATCATTCTTTCAGAACGTTTGTTCTGTTATACTAATGATATGGTTAAATACAATTTTATATCTGACTAGATATGGCAAAGTTTTTTTGATTCACATATTATCAATAATCTCTTGCTGGATCTCTAAGGCAGCATCAGATCCAACAGCAAGTATTAAGCCTGGAGGAAATGCTTTTGAAACTATAAAACACTTCACAATATCCTCACAACCTAGATTATCCTTACCATTCCTAGCACCTCGCTATTGTCCATACAAGTGGCTTGCATATACCTTGCTAATATCTTTCCAGATTAAAGCTGTAAGATGACTATGAACGATTTGATAGACTCTTATAATCAATTTATGTTCACATCCTAGAAACTGTAAATTGGACACTAACTTCGAGTTGGAGAAACTAAAATAATGTTGTAAGCATGGGTACACAAACATTGCTCTTTCTCTAGCTCTAGGCTCTTTCTCCCACCATGAAGTGCTGATATGAAGCTTAAGAACCTGCTTGACTCGAGGCAGCAAGCAGAAAACACAGTGTGGTTATTCATGAAGGCAATTGGCAAAAGCAAGTGCTGCCCTAGCTCACTTAAGACTAGACATTCTTTTGGCTGAGCCAGCAATCTTGTTTATTGTCCCACTACCAAGAAATTCCCAGTTCAAACATTAACATTAAGTTCTTATGGAGATTAACATGTGCATTTGGAATCTACTCACCAACTTTGTTTAGAATTCTTTTCAAAGGCCAACACCTCAATGAGTATCTGTATGGTTGAAATTAAGCTTTCAACCCATAACTTTGTTTGCAAATCTATAGAGCACCTTCCCCATGCCTAACATTTGCTCCATATAGCTTGCTGCATGCTGTTAAGAGATTCAGAGGGATTGAGATTGAGGGAGCAGATAGTGCCATTTTGATTCTTGCCCAAACATGCATGATGCAAACAATTATTAGCCAAGACAAAATCTTATTAAAATTTCAGTAAGATATGGTTAAAGAAATAACCTTTTGACAGTTACACCTCAATCCAACAGCTGCCATTGGCTGGATCTAACAGCAAAAAAAATTCAGTAACTCCTCCTTATTATCTCAATAGACATTGTCTAGCAAATGCTGGATGAGTACAAAAATTAATAATTTTATACAATTTTTTCTTTTTGATATTTATATGTGTGTGTGTATATATATATACACATTCAATACTATACAACATTTACCATGTACTTAGAATATCCCGAAGTGAAAAAATAAGAATTAGTAAGTAAATATTATTGATAAAGATAATATATGCAAATTATTACTTGGGAATATAAATATATTTAGAACACTAAAATTTAAAGAAACTTTAATATCCAACCCAGAGAAAAGTAAAAATATATTTCTGAGAATAATTTTTTTATAGTTATTAGAATATAAATATATTTAGTACACTCCCAGACTAAATAAAGTAAATGAAGAATTACTAAAAAATAATTTTATCAATCAGATGTTATGTTTTTACTTGGGATACAAACAGATTTATACTACCCAGATTAAACAAAAGTAAAGAAGAATCATTAAGATTAATTGTCATTAATTTAGGGAAGGGAAGAACATTAATGTATTACTCAAACCTAAACAAAGTTTAGCCTAGAAATAAAAAATTGTATGTACCCTTAAACTCAAACACCTAAACCAATTAATTTAGCAAATAACTACTTTGCCATGTGCTTTACTTGGAATATAGAACAATAAATTTTAAGAATGCTAATACTACTACACAGACCCAGGTAAAACTAAGAAAAGAATTACAGAATATAA